TTATGGATGATAACTCCCTCTCCTACGGTCTGGGGGTGCCCCCGCCTGCTTTAAAACCAAAATCAACACCAAAGTCTCCACAAGGGTAGAATATGTGCCAGGCACAGCCGTTCGGCCTTCTGCCGGACTTCTGTGCGCGCACACAGCATCCGTTGTGTGGCAAAGTAGGTACAACTGAAAAACAGATCGCCAGCTGTTTAACCCACGACTAGGCCCTGCGCTTCGTGGGGCAGGGAGGGGAAGGAAGGCTTCTGACTCGGGACTGCCCCCTACCTCCCCTCGCGCTGCTGGGCATCCCCAGGAGTCGCTTACTTCTACTGGGTGAGTTCCAGAGAGTGGCCGAAGATTTGGAGAGGCGCTTGTTGATTATAGAGTCCACGTGTTTGGGGAGATTTACGGCAGAGAGAGAGCACCTGCTTGCACCTACAAGAGGGAAAAGACACACGGGTGTTAAGGGCAGCGGAGCAGGACCGGGCGGGCATGCCAGCATGCAGCAGCAGGAGCAACGGCAGAAGGTCATGCAGCAAAAGGCACTCTAAAGGAAGGAGCAGGGCATCACGGCGGGGGCGGGCGACGGGCGGGCAGGGCTCCCAAGTCGGCACCATCTCACGCCCCGCCTCCAAGGGGGCAAAACCCGGATTCTGGTTCACTTGCCGACTCGTGGCTCAAGGGGAGGGGGGTGGGTGAGCCCACGTGGCTAAAAACAGTGTGCACCCTTCCTCAAAGGCGGCGCTGAGCTCAGAAGGAAGTGGGCTGGCACAGCTGATCTGCACCCGCTCCAGGAATGCTTCCAGGTCTCGGTTGTGCAACACAACACCAGATTTGGTCAGATGGAGAGAATTTCGGAGCTTCACCTTCTACACACACATATATATATATGCAGGCGTCAACTTCAAAGCCCAAATTTGTGGCACCTTTCATTCAGAATCCGGTCCCACTGAGTGGGATGGGGGCTGGTTGCATTAAGCAATTCTGCATTAAGGTGCAGCCTTTAGTCATTTCGAAACGCCGGGTTGCTGGAGGAACAGTCATGCTTCCTCTCGCAGGGTGAGTGCAAGGAGACAGCAGGAAGGAGGAGCACCATTGAGCTTACTGGAGGAAAGCCAACGTACATGTCACAAACACAACACAAAACCTTTACACTTTCTCATGCCAAAAGTAACTGCATTGTTACCACCGCATTACCAGTAGGTTAGTTATTACAAACAAGAATGAAGGATCCAGGAGCTACTTAGATGGATCTAGTTACTTCCAAGCGTTGCGCTCTTCTTGTTTGCTGGACAGTTTGGGTGAAGGATCTGGCGCTCCTGATATGTTCTTGGATGCCAAGAATAATATCCCCTCCTCGGTTGCACAGGTTTTCTCTTTCATGTGTGTGTTTGGCACAAGCAGTGTCGTGCAGGGCTGGTCAGGGAGGTCGGTCCCCTCCTCCATTCATGGGTCCGATGAATGGATGGGGAGGGTCGTGCAAATCTATCCATCAAGGCTAAGAGCAGCTGAGGTCCTCCGCGCTGGGTTATCAGCCCAGAGGGAAATGGACAGCGGTTGGTAACCCTAACCCTAACCCGTAGAGTAGGATCATGGGATGTGTGGCATGAGATCCAGCCATTCCCTTTGTGCGCTCAACAGGAGATGCTTCAGGCGGCGGTGACACAGCCCAGCCTGAGAAGAAACTCTAGCCACCACGTCAAGTGCAGCCAGTTAGAGCAGGATCTCTCCACCCTTTAGATCAGTGGTTCCCAACCTTGGATGCTCAGATGTTCGTGGATGACAAATGGATCCTACCTCTATTTCTGTTTTTCCCCCTCCCCTTCCAACACGTGGAATACAAATGGATCCTACCTCTGTTTCTGTTTTTCCCCCTCCCCTTCCAACACAACACACGCCGTAACATTTAAAGTATTCTCTGAGATCAAACTATCTAAAAAGGGAGAGCTATTAAACTACGTGGAAGGCATAGTTCACCTGATGATGATGCTGCACTAGAACCCCCAGCAGTCCTTTGGAGCACAGCCAACAGTGAGGAACGCTGGGCAATGTACCGTATTTTTCCGTGTAGAAGACTATACTTTTGTCTAAAACCTTTAGAATAAATATTGAGGGTCATCTTATACACGGAGGTAAGCTGAGGAGAGAACTGCAGGGCCGTGATCCCTGCTTTCCCCTCCACTTGCAAAGCCCCACTTAGATTTCTTAATTTCGGGTTAGAAAAGTGGGGGGGGTCTTATACATGGGGGGCGTCTTATACATGGAAAAATACGGTAGTCCATCAACATAGATAAGTTTAGATGGTTACCTCCCTATAATAGAAGGGTTACCCAGAAGTGTGTAGCTTGGTGGTGGTGGTGGTTTTGGGCTTCAACTCCCAGACTTCCCTAGGCGTCTGGGAAAACGGCACAACTAGGTGTGTGTGTGTGGCTGCTGCAGGGCTAGTCTCTTAAAGGAGCCCTGCGGTGCAGTGGTTAAATTGCAGTACTGCCGTCAAGACTCTGCTCGATCCCAAGGGGCCCAGGTAAGCTGGTTCAAAGTAGACTCAACTTTCCATCCTTCTGAGATCAGTATATTGAGTACCCAGCTCATGGGGGGGGGGGCAGGATGATGACAATGTGTCGCCTGCATAATTAAACTGCAAACCGTCCCGAGAGTGCTTTAAACACTATAGGGGGGTAATATAAGCAGCACACTTTGGCTTTAGTCTTGGAAGGAATCCAGCCAAGCCGAGGATGTGTTGTGCCTTTAAAGCCAAGTGAAAACAGGGGATCGGGGAGGGGCGCCTCCAGTTTCCAACCAGAAAGAAGGCTTCTATGGACAGAGGCACTGCTCATGAGCTGATCCAGCCCCAGTGACTAAGATCTGCCTGAACAATGAGTCAGGACAGACCTGATATGAATCCTAGCTCTGCCACGAACTTCGTCCTGTTTGCTTTAGGCAACTCTCTCTCTCTCTCTCTCTCTGTCCCACTCCCTCTTTCAGTCTCAGCTGGGGTCAAATGCAGACCTCTGTAAAGAACACAGAGGGCCCTCTGGATCAGGCCAAATTTCGCATTCCCATTTCCAAACACTGCCAACGGGGCATCTCGAAGACAATGTCAAGCCGGGCACGAGGGCAGCCGGCCTCTTTCATCACCGTTTATCCCACATATCTGGTTCTCCTGAGGCGGTGGCTGCATGAAGCCGCTACCAAGACCCAGTGGTCTCATGACAGAAGGATAAGCTCTGTGGAGCGCCTAAACCTGGGGCTCCCAATCCTGAATCCTTAGATGTTCTTGGACTACAACTCCCAGAAGTCCTAGCCAGCACAGCCCATCATCAGAGCTTCTGTGCATTGTATCTCAAAAGCATCCGGGGGACGGGGGGGGGGACACTCACTGATCTAAATGCTTTTATTTCTTGTTGATCCTATTGTAACAGGATCACTCGCCAGAATTCTGTCGATTCTGCCCACTGCATAACTCCATCAGTGTAAATTTCAACCATACCACCAATTAAGATACTAGTGCGGTTGTGTGTTTTTTAACTCATCACACAGCAATCGCATGACAGGGCATGGAATCTGAAAAAATAGGGCCAACATCTTACCTGGTGGCTATTAGCCACTGAAAGCTGCATCTGTGGAGTTGCTGCTGTTGTTTGGTCGTTAAGTCGCGTCCGACTGTTCGTGACCCCATGGACCAGAGCACGCCAGGCCCTCCTGTCTTCCACCGCCTCCCGGAGAGTTGGGTCAAATTCATGTTGGTAGCTTGGTAACTCAATGTTGGTAACTCAATGGAGTTATGTCAGCGTAAGTACGCGATAGGATGACGACCACTGTCCTCAGCCCACCTTCTCCCCATTCAGGGCTTTCAAGATCAAAACCCAACTGAACTTTGGGGCACCTTAAAGTCTAACCTGCTTAATTCAGCATGAGCTTTTCTGGATGGCCGCCCACGTCATCTCTCATTTATCTACTCTGCCAGCTCACATTTAGCTGTCCTAAGGATGTGTCGCCTGAAGGAACATCAGAGGTAACTTCTCTGAAGCTGCCCTGATTAGTTGATTTAGGCAGTGGTTCCCAACCTGGGGTCCCCCGAGGTTCTCAAACTAAAACTCCCAGAAGCCTTCGCCACCAGCTCTGCTGGCCAGGATTTCTGGGTATTGCAGCCCAAGAACATCTAAAAACCCAAGGTTGGGATTCCCCTGCTTTGGAGGAAACAGACAGAACCACCCAGACAAGGTGCCCACTGCAAACTAGGATTACTTCCTTGTCTACTAGAAGCCTTTCCCAAGCCAACTAAGCCTCTCTAAGAAAAAACAACAACAACCCATTCCTTCCATTTCTCCAAGACCATGAGGACTGGAAACTTTAAAAAGCAAAGATTAGGACAGTGGTTTCCGAACTCGCAGCTTCCTCGATCCGTCCTGGAGCCTCCCTGGTGCATCGCTGACTCTGCCTCTTCTCCTCCTCCTGTCCAGGTGGGCATCCGGGGCAGAGGGGCAGCTTGCCCTGAGCTCTGTCCCCGAGGACAGGCATGGTGTCAGGCATGATTCTGGCCGGCACACAGGGAGACCCACTGGGGCCGAGGAGAGGGAGGCGCTGGAGAAGGACGAGAGGATCCCACCACACCTCCGGCTGGGTTTGGCTACGCCCCGGTGGCACCGTGACACACAGTTTGGGAACTTCTGACTTAGTATCTCCAGCCCTTCTGTGTCTGAACCTTCATGGCTGCCCTGGACTAGTTTCTGCCATCGATATTCACCAATTAAATCTGTTTGCTACAACAGCCCCGAGTGATGCACAGGCTGGTACCCAACAATGTCTAAATTGTTCTAATCTTACGTGGCAGGAGCTTGGAAAAGAGCATCACATAGATGGGAAAGATGTCTTGCCATTCTTGAGAGGCAGGGAAGGCAAAACCCTATAACGTCCTTATTGCAGAACATCCGGGGGCTCACCAAGACAGAGGACGGGCGCCCCTCGAAAAGAGGAAGCAGCAGAAAAAAGCCCGGCTCCCTCCATGCAAGTAAAGATATAAATTAAAAACAAAAGGTTTGCATTGCTCTCTAATAATCAACAAAGATGTGACCGCCTTCCTGTCCATCAGGCGCATGCGTGTGCAAAAGCATCGAGGCCCCCTTGCCATGCGCACTTCCCCGGGGCTGCACGTGCCAAACTCAACCAGGCTCTGCCACCCTCCTGCCCTTTGGGCTCTGGTGCCAGAGAAGAGTCTGGGGGAGATCCACTCACCGTCCTTGTGAACGGGGGACCCCTGGTGCAGGGCGCCGGCCCACGACCATCGCTGCTGCCGGATCTCAGCCCAGGTTTTCTTGGCCGAGCGCTGGATGGCAGCTTCGTAGCGCTCCTGAGAGAGAAGGAAAAGAAGGGACGGAGCAGGAAGATCAGAAAGGCTACGCCGGAGGGGCAGCTCCAGAATGAGCCCCGGGGACTGCCCCGACTCCCTTTTTTTCATCATCCCTATAGGCTCTGCAGGCGGAAACCACAACATCAGAAATCTTGAGGAAGGGATTTAAAATACAGTGGTGCCTTGCTAGACAGTTACCCCACATGACAGTTTTTCCGCTAGACATTGACTTTTTGCAATCGCTATAGTGATTCGCAAAACAGTGATTCCTATGGGGGAATTTTGCTGGACAATGTTTGGTCCCTGCTTCACAAACCGATTCTCTCTAGACAACGATTCTGACAGCTCTCTCCGCGCTTGCAAAACAGGTGTTTTCGGGACCTAAGCTTCGCAAGACAGCGATTTAAACAGCTGATTGGCGGTTCACAAAGTGGCTTTCCTATGGCCGATCTTCGCTAGACAACAATAATTCTTCCCCATTGGAACACATTAAAGAGGTTTCAATGCATTCCAATGGGGAAATGCTTTTCACTAGACGATGATTTCGCTAAACAGCGATTTCAGTGGAATGGATTATCGTCATCTAGCGAGGCACCACAGCATTGGTGAATGGGGAAATTGTGTTCCCTTACAGATTTTTCCCTACAGATGGGCACCAGCCAAAGGTTCAGTGGTTCGGGGTGATTCGTTTCCCAGCCAAACAGCCTTTCTGGTGAGCTCTCCAGGCTTAATAAATTCTCTTCCCCCCAAATGCTTCCCAGGCATCTATGTAATTTCAGCCATTAGATCCATAAAGGCCAAAGCAGACCAGAAGCCAAATCTTCAAAGTGTATATTGGTACAATAATGAGAGCTAGAACTTGTCTTTCATCCTGCCTTTATCTACCTGTTTCAGTAATCTATAGCTGCCTTCTTTGCTTCTACCTAGCTCCCCTGAGCCTTCCTGGAAATGGAAAAAGTTACTTTTTCTGGTATAAATCTCCCAGAATTCCCCAAGCTTTATCTGAAATTTGCTAGCGGGCAGGGTGGGGGATTCTGGAAGATATACTCCGTTTATGTGGAAAGCCATTTTCCCGACCTCGGTGCCAGCTTTCTATTTGGCGCCTTCCGAATCCAACCTTATTTTTCTCGAGCTTCTGCCGCTGGCGCTCCTCCAGGGCCGCTCGGCGTTTCTCCGCCCGAACGCGCTGCTCCTCAAGTCGCCGCCGCCGTTCCTCCAGCTGCTTTTCACGCAACACCCTCGCCTTCTCCTCTTTCTCCAGCCACACGGCCCGCTTGGCAGCTACCGGTCAGTGGGTGGGATGACCCACAAGAGTGGGGGGGAAAAGGACAGGTTCAGATGAGTTATAGAGATAAGAGCATGTGGCCGCAGACATGACATAAAACACTCACTCCTGGGGCATATTGCATGACAACAGAAACAGAACATCCTTCATTTTGCCCTGTGTGCCACTGCGCCTCCTGCCCCTGAGCCAGGAAGAAATGATCGAGAAAGCAGGAATATTTTGCAAAAGCCCCAGAGACTGATTTATTCCAAGAAAGCATTCTGCTGAACCAAGCCGGAGGTTCTGCTGCAGCCGTTCCGAACCCTGCAGGATCGCTCCAGGCAGGACATGCTACAAGTCCCATCATCCCCATCCAGGCTAGGGAAAGGCTGGTCTTAAAATCTCTTACCCAGTGGCCACCAGCCCTATTTGGCTATATAACTTCGCAGCTTGGTTTCCTTCCAACGCATGTGCTTTTCGACGGTTTCATTACGATCATTCCCTCACCGAAAACAAAAGTGCAACAGGCCAGAAATTTGAGCAAAAAAAAGTAAAATCGAGTGAGAGATGCATACATCTCACATTTCCTAACTCCATGAAATAAACAGAAAGAAGGGGGGAAGAAACTGAGCTATTGGGTAGCTGAGTGGCTTACGTCTCTGGCTGCAGAGCCAGAGGTTGGGAGTTTGAATCCCCCATGGGGCCTCCTGGGAGAAGAGCCAGCCTAGGTAGCCTTGGGCAAGCTGCACATAGGGCAAACTATCTCTGAGTACTCTCTTCCTAGAAAATCCTGAAAATCATTGCTGGAAGTCAGAACTGGCGCATGACGACTATCCTTACACAATAGGAAGTCCAGAACAAGCATCTTGAGAAGTTCTCTGCTTCTCAGCGTTGACCCCTACAGCTACAACACAAGGATGATGATTATGCCTTGCAAGCACGTTTCTCATGCAATAAGGCTCTGCACAGTCAATGTTTTAAGCATAGCATAGTAATAATAACAATAAATAGGACAGTGTCAGCTTTAAGGCTAGCAAGTTTTATTTAGAATAAGGTTGTAGGGACTGCAGGCCACTTATTCAGGTTGCTCACAACCCACAGACACTGCATGAGAAATAAAACAGGTTCCTCTTTAAGGTCCTACGAAACTAATTGTTTTCGCCGGACGAGACTAAGACAGTCACCAAAAACAACGACGCTACGGACGATCACCCCTGGATCACATGAGGATACCCGGGTTATAGACGTGCAATATAATAATAGTACGATTTACCAAGTCTTGAGACTCCATAGCCTGCAGAACATGAGAGGGGAGTTGTGGCTTTCCAAATGAATGAATGAATGAATACCACCACCAGCAGCAATGTACAAATAAATAAATCAATAAAAAAATAAATATCAGAATAACCTTTACAAGTTCTGCCTGCACCTTGTTAGTCCACCCCAATGAAGACAGAGGCCCCCAGGATATAGAGAAGGCAGTAGCAACTGTAGCCATGATGCCAGGAATTCTTATTTATATTATTATTATTCTTTTTTTTAAGCACACTTAAAAAGGGGGGAAGAGTCCTACATCAATGGAGCCAGGGACCCCAAAGCAGGTCTGCCCAACACTGACAACAATCTACACAATCTGTATAAGGCCAGCTTGTCCAGGATTTCCAAAAAGCAGGCCCATCTTTTCATTGGGGGGGGTGCCTTTGAGGTCACAAGAGAAGAAGAAGACGAAACGGACAGGGGCGAGGAGAGCTTTGGAATCATAAAAACTACGTGGAAGGAGAGATAATGGCTGCCCTTGTATTGTGCATGGTTTCTGAAAAATGTCCTCTGCATGCTTTTAAGACTCGTGAGCTGCCTTAAGCAAACTCTGGAAAGCAGGGTAGGGATATTGCACACCGATGGAAAGAAGGGTTTGAGTAAGCAGATCCCACCCGCCCTCCTTCAAACGGGTGATGGGGAGGGGAGACCCCCAAACATAACTATTGTGGTGCAGGATCCAAACAAGCAGGAGGGAGGCGAGAGAGGCAGACCAGGCTACCACAAAAGGAAGGGGAAGCTGGCCTGAAAAACTCATTCAGGCTGAACAATGGGGGAATGGGGGTGGAAAGTGATTTAGGCTGGAGCGGGCCACGAAAGGGATGGGGTGGAAGGCGGGCAGGGGGGTAGCGAGGAGAGGGTGGGGGAGGTCGCCGGGCCAGCAAAATTAATGACTCCACTCCTACGTTGCCTGCGAGAGAAGTGTTCTCAGCCAAAACATCATCTCCACATTTCGTCACAGCAGAAGAATTCAGGGGCATACAGGATGGATGGGTGGAAGGAAGGAAGGAAGGAAGGAAGGAAGGAAGGAAGGACCTTCCTGCCAGATTAGAAGGCTGCCTAGGAAGAGCGGTCGCTCCATCGCTTTGAATCATCCTGACCTGTTTGAGGTGAGGGTGGGTCATCCCAGAAAGAGGATTGCAGCTTCTCCACACAACGTGCTATTCAGTGCTGGAAAGAATTGCCACGAGATACTGAGAAGGTCATTAGATTTAGGTGGCCTTTAGAGATTTACAAAAAGATAGCCATGTTAGTATGTTTCAACACTGAAAAAAGAGGCATGATGCTGCTTTTCATAATTATAATTATTTCCCATAAAAGTCAGCAAAACATACATTGCTCAATGCTTGTTGTTTTCCTTACTTAAGGCTTGACGCTGTTCTCCTTAACCCATGTACATTCTGTTGACTCTCAGATTCTAAGCAGAACAATTACAAACTTTTCAAAAAAAAAAAGTCACCTAGCTTTTATTCTATGGGAAAGAGAAAAGAGTTCAAAAAAGTTTGCTCATCCGCTTTATGGAAATTTAATCATATGACTCTCTTTGGTCACCTCCCCCCTCCTTCCTCAGCTTCCCTGTTTTGGCTGGCTCCTTGTTTCCTTCAAGTCGTGCATGTTTTGTTCATTCAAACTGGATTTTTCTTGAGAGTTTCACCTCAAGAATTACTGTGACAGAATCTGTATTTTGGTGTTCAGGGTGGGAGAAACAGCTCCATGGATCCTTGGCACTGGGAAGCCATTCAAAAGCTGTTATGTAGCCTTCAGTTTTGGATCTTGGCACAGTTCTTATCAAAACACATGATGAGGAACCACGGCTGGTTTTTTGATAACATTGCGCCGGAGAAAGATATCTGCATGTCTCAAAAGCTTGCACATTTTTTCTATGCCTTTTGAATTGCATAATGCATGGGCTGAAATCCTGTTGCACTTTGTAGACCTTTCCTGTTGCACAGGTGAGCCAAGCCTGTTGCTTACCATAGTAAGTCACTTCAAGAGTAGGCCTACTGAAACAGCTGGCATTTCATGAATCAGCTTCTCGACCAGTTGCACTGATTCGATCAATCCACGCTAGGTGCAACTTACTATGCTAAGCAAAAGGATTTCAGTCTCTGTGTACAACAGATAACGTTTATGGAGATTGCTTAACTTACAGCAATGTGCCTCTAAAAGTTATGCCATTTACGTAACTGTGCAATAATTTCAGCCATTATCCCCAAATATAGATTCTGGAACATGACACAGAGCAGATGCTCCCAAGACAGTCTACCCTTGGGAGATTTTCCACTTTAGATCAGAGATGGAAACCTTCATAGTTCCAGAGGCCATTTTGTTTCTCAGGCTATGGTCTGAAAGCTGTAGTAAAATAACAGCAGCCGTTTTTAAAGGAAAATCTTATGAGAGAAAAAAGAGGCAGAACAAAGTTATCCTCAAAGGAAAGCTATAATTCATGCCAGACGAGAAAGGCCTATTCATGAAAACAGGAAAACTTTAATTTTCCTTAGAGTGATGTGTTTTTTTTTTGGGGGGGGGGAACTAAGATATTCAGGTCAAATATTCTATTCTTCTGAAGTGTAATTTTCTATGTATATTTCTCTCTCAAGATTTGGTCCATCCATCCATCCATCCAGCCGTCCGTCCGTCCGTCCGTCCATCCATCCATCCATCCATCCATCCATCCATCCATCCATCCATCCATCCATCCATCCATCCATCCAGTTGCTCCTCCAGAACCCGACCTCAAAGCACTTGAATGGCTGACTCCGGTCACCCAGTTATCATCATCTTCCTCCTTAGAACAAATGCACTGAGATTTTGCTTATGTTCTATACCTTTTGTCTGACTTTGCACAGGCCCCTACAAACCAGGACAGGTGATTTTATGCTCACCAGCCTCGTGGTTTTGTCATCCTTTTAGGGGAGGTCAAAGCAGCCGCCCCCTTTCCAGCTTTGCAGGAACTAAAAAGTCCCACCGCAGCTTTTGCAGAGGGACAAAGACCGGTCAACATCTCGCGATGCTCTCTTGGTCTGGTGGAGAACGACAGAGCGGTGGCTGGCACTTGTGGATTGGGTTGTACTGCTGGGTGCAGGTTAGCAAGCCATCTCGGCTCCATGCGCAAACCACCCTATGAACATGGTTACCTTCACATGGTGTTGCTTCTTACCTAGATGCTTGGCTCGTTCTTCCCGCCGTTCTCGGGCCAATTTGTGCCTGGCTTGTGCTTTCTGGGTGTCTGAGACGCAAAGAGAAAGAAAGTCAGACCCGGTTGGTCCAGTCCAGAGGAGCCTCATGATGCAGTGGTTAAACTGGAGAAAGTCAGAAATGTTAAAAAAACCAAAAACCATAATACTGACCCGGTTGGTCCAGTCCAGAGGAGCCCCATGATGCAGTGGTTAAACTGCAGTACTGCAGTCAAGACTCTGCTCACAAGCTGAGTTCAATCCTGACAAGATCAGGTAGATGGCTTGAGGTTGACTCAACCTTTGGTTCTTCTAAGGTTTGTAAATTGAGTACCCAGCTCACTAGGTGGGTGTGCAATATGTGACCTGCATAATTAAATTGTAAAATCAACCAGAGATGGCTTTAAGCGCTATGGGGTGGTATATAAATAAATATATACACCTTCAGCTTTTCCCAGCATTATTGTCTTTTCCAGAGAATCATGATTTGCCCAAAGTAGGACACCTTCAATTTTGTCATTTTAATTTTTAAAAAATATATGTAAAAAAATTAAAAAGACAAAATTGAAGGTGTCCCACTTTGGGCAAATCCTGATTCTCTGGAAAAGACAATAATGCCGGGAAAAGCTAAAGGCAGCAGGAAAAGAGGAGGACTGAATATGAGACAGGTTGACTCAATGAAGGAAGCCATAGCCTTGATTTTGCAAGAGCTGAGCAGACTGTTTTTAAGGTCACTGATTCACAGTACTCCGCCTAAGACAGAGATGACTTGACAGCATGCAACAAACAACAACAGTTCAATAGTACACTTTTTTTTTTTAAAGAAAAAGTCACCGTTCCCTGAATTGCTGAATTTTTTAAATTCTAAAACACTTTTTTTCAATGTCTAGCCCTAGATGGGGCCAGAGATTGAATACGATCATGGAACTGAACCAAACTGATCTGGAACAGATTGTGCAGAGCTAATTCCGGTAAGTCGGAGCCTGGAAAAAATGTGTTTGCAGGCAGGCGGCTGGGCTGGCCTGTTTCAGGGATAAGAAAATGCATGTCTTACTCTTAAAGGTGCTGCAATACTTTTGTTTTCTCTTTTTTTGTAGCTAAAGAATCTTGAAAGACAGGGTCAAGTCAGGGCAGAGTCTGGAAAGGAAGGGGTTAACCCAGGGCACTGAGTTATAGGCACAATCTGTAACTATTCAGGAAGTTAGAAGCCAAGCCTATAATGCATGGCTGGGAAACCTCCAGTTGTTCTGATGCTTTGGACTACAACACCCACAATCCCTCAGCGCTGGGCTTCCTCGCCAGGGCTTCTGGGAAATCAGATCAAAAGGATCCGGGGGGGGGGGAAGGTTTCCCACCTCCAACCTACCATAACACAGAAGGCTGTCTCAATTAATAGAGCTTCTGAAATTATTCTGTGCTTTCCCATAGGAGACATAAAATAAAACACATCTGGAGGATTCTGGGTGTTGTAGTCCATGTTGAACTTTCTGCAACCTCGCAGGCTGCCTCTAGTAGATTTGGCTTGGGAGGGACCTTTCTGGCCTGGGGTGACTGTCAGTCTATCTAGCACTAACCAATCATTTCTTTCCAGCCTCTGAATTCAAAGAGAGCCCCCGCCTCTCTGCGCTTTTGTCTTTTTCTGTCTCTTAGCGTCCATCGAAGTCTGTTGCTGAAAGCAGTCACTTTTGTCTTTTTCTGCCTCTTAGCATCCATCGAAGTCTGTTGCTGAAAGCAGTCATGTTGGTCCATTTGCTGTTTCATCTGTTCAATGGTAGGTAATAAAACAAACCCTCCTTCCTTACTTTACCCCGAATGTCTCAAGAGTGAGTTATTAACACATAACTTCCACAAGAATTGTAGCTATCAAATGTTAGGACCTAGAAAGGCCCTACATATGCAATTCCCCCTTTCAGAGAGGGAAGGACACAATATCCTTGTCCAATCAAGGCGGCATTACCAGGACTGCTCTAACCAACATTAAGAAAAAAGACCCTAGGTTTTGCCCCACTGCCCTAAGAGCACCAATGCATTGCGTGCAGGGTAGCTGAGCCCTTACAGAGGGAAGCAACGTGTCTCTGTGCACAGAAGACTGTCCCTGGTTGCATTCCCATCACACCATCAGGCATGAGCCCGGGGATGCAACATGCACCTTCGGAACTGGTGACAACCTGCCACCTGGAATTGCCAGATTGCCAACCACAGGATTCAGGCCAAAACAGGTCAGGGGATTCCAAGGAGATGAACTTTTCAAGTGATTTGAGGCCCCAATGTCTATTTGCACCATGCAAACATTTGCAAACGTCTGTTCGCACCCTACCTTGTTTGGTTCGGGGACTGGCTGGGGACGGCTGTTCGTTCTTGGCCGGCGATCGCCCGCTTTCCTGCGGGCATGCGTCTTCGCCGGGAGGCATTGTTGGGGCTCCGACCGGCGGCGGGCGGTCACTCTTCAGGGACAAGGTCTCTGTGGCGCGAAGGGTGGCCGCAGGCGACGGGCGAGCCTGGCCGGTCGGAGTGGAAGGTTTCACGTCAGCGGGGGGCGCCGTGGCCGTGTCGGCGGCTGGGTGGCCGTTTTGAGGGGGCAGGGGTGACCCCGTAGGAGCAGCTGTGGGTGGCGGAGAAGGGGCGGCCGTCGCAGGGCGCGCCGAGGCAGACCGGTCCCTCTGGCACTGGCCTGGCTCCCTCTCGAGGGGCATCGTGGCCGGCAAGTGGCCGGTCCGTTCGTCGAGGGAGAGCGCCCTCACTTCCGGGAGAGCTCCATTCACGGCTGCAGGAGAAAAGGAGGAGGCAAGAGAGTTCATGAGGAGACCCGAAATATATTTTCATCCCCCCCACCCCACCCCAATCCCCAACCTTTAGGCTGGGCTACCAGGCTCTGCTAATCTCAAACAAACAGCACTGTGGGTGCCCGGGAGGGCCGCCGGGCGCCGCGCCAGCCGGGCACAAAGACCCCCTTCTCCCTCTGGCCTGGAAACCTGGCACTCGCCGAGGAAAGCAGGAAAGATCACTTTGGGAGATCCGTGCCCCACTGCCCGCTTTGGGATTATCTGTCCCCCCACACACAAAAACACAGAGACCCCCCAGCGTGGGCTCCTGGGCTTTTAACCACTGCAATGCAAACCCAGAAAAAGTCTCCTGGGATTCATTGCATGATGCTCTAAAGACTCGCGAAGACTTCCCAAGGAGATGCTTTGAGAATTAATCACTGGATTGTTAAAACAAGGAGAAAAGATTTCCAGAGGGCATCCTCCACTCCCTACCAGGAGACAGACAGACACACAGAGAAAGAGATGTATATATGTATATATGTATATATGTATATATTGCCACAAGAGCGAGCAAGCAAGCTTGAGAGCAATTTCTCCCTTCCTCCTCCTCTGTGTATATATTGCCACAAGAGAGAGCAAGCAAGCTGGAGAGCAATTTCTCCCTTCCTCCTCCTCTGTTACATAATCCACCAGCCTCTTCAGTCTCTGGGTGGCGCGTCTTCCTCCCTTCACAGAAGCAGCCACCACCGAATCCTTCACAGGCAACCATTAACTCATGCCGCAAGAATGTCCAGCATGAGATTCTGGAGAAACGGGGTGGTGGGGGTGGAGAGAGAGAGAGAGAGACACCCTCTTTCAGTCCGAAAAGCCTCGCCCTGCCTCGGGCAGGAAGGAAGGCAGACGGGCGGCGGGGGGGGGTGAGGAGGGGAAGTCAAAAGATGGAGGAGAGAGCCGGAGACAAAAGGGGGCAGACTCGGGGATGGGGGGCGTAGGAACAATGGAAAGGGAAGGACGGCCGGGGTTTCCACGGGCCAGAACAGCCCAGCCACTTTTCTAAACTTTATTTTCTTTCATTACTTTTCTTCCTTCTTCTTCTTTTTAACTTCCTCAAATCCACTGGCTAGATGGAATGGGAGATTCCAGAAATTGCAGCCCCAAAAATGGAATTCTCCTAATTTCTCTCTCTCACACACACACACACAAAGAAAAGGGGGGTGGAGAAAAAAATTCTCCACTGATCCAGAGAAGTAAAAGCGCCAGGTTATACCTCTTTACCTCCGGAGTGTTACAAACAGAAGTCAACTATGCTGGGAGCCGACTCCCCCACCCCTCCGGAAGTCTGTGAATGAGGCAGTGGAGTTTGCACAGTAAAAACTTTGCTAAGAACCACGGCTCGCCCTTCAGCTTGCATAGATTTGCCTGTTTCTTATTTATTTCTTTGAATTTCACACCACCCACCTGATGGCCAAGGCCACTCTGGAACCCAGGGAGCTCACAACTTCAACAAAAGCGGATCTGTACCTCTGAAAAGATTGGGGGTCACCCTAGCTACTTGCTTTTCCCCCAACAAAAGTCAAAATGAAGCAAAGAATCTGGCTGCAGAGCTGTTTCAACAGGACAAACCCCATCGTCCCAGTCCACGATAAACAGGCTGAACACGGACCTCCCTCAAAAAGAGTTGGGATTAGTTGTCAGTATCACCTCTGCCTTGTTTGGATTCCTCTTTAGTTTGTTTATGCTCATCTGCTCACGGAGGTGTCCAGGCACTGGTTTCAGGCTTACTTTTGGAACTGATTGTTATCTAAGGCCAAAGTTTGGGACGCTCTCCTGGGGCAGGTTCATGCAGATCTCAAAAAACGTCCGTGATAACCTCGGTCAACTCCCAGGGCTCTGAGCTCACTCCGACCCCCATAATACATATTCCAGGTGGAGTCAAGCAGGAACCATGGACCCGAGAACCAGCCCTGAAACCCTGATCCTCTGGAAGTTCATCATGAAACTCTCTAGAGCAATAACACGCCTGCCCTTGGCAGGAACCATGGAACCGAGAACCTGAAACCTGGAAGTTCATTATGACACTCTCTAGAGCAATAACACGCCTGCCCTTCTTCATGTAGGGCCTGCAACAAAATGTTGTAGCACTTCTTCACCTCCAACAGGATTATTTCTCAAGGCCCGCTGTGCCTTATTCCAGCAGACTTTGGGCTCATCTTGAGAGGTCCTATGACCTTCTAGGTGCCAATGAAGGACAAACACTATCATCCCTCACTCTCTGGCTAGGCTGTCAGGGGCAGTTGGGAAGTGAAATCTGTCCATCTCTGGAGGGCCATCATTAATCTTCGCCAACTAAAATCTCCAACCCTCATTCCAATGTAGGTATACAGGTCCAGATGAGGGAGATTCCAGATATATTTTTCCATTGTTTCTCATAAGACTGCAACCAGGAAGGAAGGAAACAGTAACAGACAGACAACTGGACCATAATGTGTAGATTAACCCTTAGATTGTAAACTCTTTGGGGCAGAGGCATCACCTTCCATTTCAGACATTCTTCACGGCCGCATGTATAAAGATTATGTTCTATAAGGGAACTTCTGACCCAGCCAGTTGAATTCTCAGCACAAGGAGAGCCAGCATGACATCTTAATCAATGAATGACACCAGGACTCAGGAGTCCTGGGTTCAAATCCCCACTCAGCCATGACTCTCCAAACCTCCTCAAAAATCTCATCTTCTCCAAGGAGGGAAAAGGGGGCATGAGAATGGGAGCCTCAAAAAGCACCCCTCGGGGCACTCCTCAAAACGTGGGCTCCCTACCTTTGCCTGCCACTCACTATCTTTGATCTGGCTGCGGACCCAGGCGTTGGGAGTTCGATTCCCCGCTATGCCTCCTTGACAGGGGTTGGACTCAATGATCCATAGGGTCTCTTCCAGCTATAAAGTTCTAAGATGATGATGATGATGATGATGATGATGATGATGATGATGATGATGATGATGATGATGATGATGATGATCTCTGTATGAAAGCTTTGAGAAGTTACTATTTTGGACTGTAACTCCTAGACTCTTCCAATCAGTCTGGCTACATAGGCTGTGTTGTATGCCAAGTTTTGGCTACTTCAGCCCATATAAATAATCTCGCCCTGCAAGGTTTGATTTTGTACATATATGTGTCTGTGTTTGCTTGTGGTTTCTCTATGTGTGTCTGAGCACATTTGTGCCTGTATATAGTATACAAAGCACAATAACTACAGCAGCAGCAGCAGAGACTCACGAGCCAATATAGAGAAATTGGAAAAGCAAATTTTGTGTGTGTGTGTGTGTGTGTGTGTGCGGGAGCAGTTCTCTGGGGCTCAGAAGTTTTCCCATCACTAGTCAAATGCTCATTTCTCAAAAAAAAAAAATTTATAAAGAGATAAGAGACATGACCAAGGATCTTCCATCCTGCTCTCTGCCACTGAGCCAATGGTCCTGCCCATCCACCAAGAACGGATGATCCGTCCTCGTTACTTTTCCACAACCTAAACCTTTTAAACCTTTAACCAGCCCTGCATCGTGCAATGAGTGGGTGCAAGTTGGAGAGTCAACAGCATCGCTCTCTTGCACCATGATGGATGATGTATATCCAGGAGAGGAGACAAAAGGACCTTGGCAGACAGAAAGCAAAGAGAGAAGGAGGTGGAAACGGGCCGGCCGGCCAGCGGAGGGGAACAGAGGTGGAGGAAGACAGGGGACGGCGGTTGGCAAGGAGACCCGGAGGCCATGAGCCCCAGAAGCTTTTAAGGCCGAGATTCTCTACAGCGTTATAAGGTTTCTCATTAGTTGCTTTCCTGAGAGCCGTTCTCTTTCACAGCCAACGCAGACCATGGCACACGTCAGGAATGCAAAGCAGGGATGATTCAGGGCTCCTCATCCTGTCAACATTAACGTTCTTTTGGCTCAGCGAGCTCCCCTTCCAGTCAAACTTCTTAGGAATTCAGAGAAAGGCTGTGGGGCTCGGCTCTTTCTGAGCATCGAGGTGCTTTTTAAAAATATTTTATTTTTTTGAGAATTCTGAGGTGCTGTACTCGGAAATGAAAGCACCGAGGGGAGAGTAAGAAGGACCCAAGCTATTTTACTATTGCCTGCCGCCAAGGGCACCCTCACCTCCACCCCCCAAAACTCACCCCAATCCAGAGTGTCACAAGGGGCTTTCTGAACTTCTCCCCAAATCCCCCCAGGCCAATTGGACCTGTAAGCAAGAGGAATCTGAGGGGGCAGGTTCCAAAAAACCTAAAAATTACAGTGGGGTCTTGACTTGAGAACTTAATCCGTATTGGAAGGCGGTTCTCAAGTCAAAAAGTCTTTTATTTTTTTGAGAATTCTGAGGTGCTGTACTCGGAAATGAAAGCACCGAGGGGAGAGTAAGAAGGACCCAAGCTATTTTACTATTGCCTGCCGCCAAGGGCACCCTCACCTCCACCCCCCAAAACTCACCCCAATCCAGAGTGTCGACAAGGGGCTTTCTGGACTTTTCCCCAAATCCCCCCAGGCCAATTGGATCTGTAAGCAGGAGGCATCTGAGGGGGCAGGTTCCAAAAAACTAAAAATTATGGCATAATGTAGCTGGACTTCTATCTTTCCACTGACATTCTGTGATTCATTTTCTCTCTCTCTCTCTCTCTCTCATACACACACAGGGCCAATTCACCTTCCTTCTTTGGCCCTTGTTCTGGGTTCAGGCTTCATGTCGGCACAGTGCCCAGAAGAACAAGATGAAGATACTTTTGCACACTCCAAAACAGCATTGCTGTGTTTTATTTATTTACGAAATTCATCAGACGGCTTTCGAAATGCAACATTCTCCCAAGGCCGCAGATGGTGCATGTCAAAATCAATTTCTAAACGCACCGGATCCTGAAAATGACTGCATGACCCACAGATACCACACTGAACGTCTAAGCAAAAAAGCAACACCAGAAATCCACCGAAAGCAACACGGCACAACCAGCAGCAG